GGTGGATGGAAGTCAGTGCCCTTGAGTGCTGGTATCTCCCTTCCCGGCCACCGGTAGATCAGGCTTCTGAGCCTGTTGGCTGTCAGGGCCTCACTGTGCCCCATAGGCACCATGGCAGCCCCTGTGAAATCCACCAGGTGTCACCAGGCAGCATACAGGTAACAGGCCTGGAAGGTCCCCAACAGCTGAGCTGGACATGCTCAGACACTCTGGGGCTCCTCGTTCAGTGGCACAAACTCCAGGACCCAGTGAGGGAAACGGGAACCCACCAGGCTGAGCAGTAAGGCTAAATCCATTTATTCCATAATGAAAAGCAAAATAAACAGGAGTCATATCACCAGGGAGCCACAACCCCATCCCCACCTCCTTCCTCTGTCCTATGCTATCAATAAATAAGTCTCCCAGCCATAAGTAATGACTAGAACCTCCTCCCCATATGCCAGCTCCAACCTCCATGAGGTACAATACAGAGGGTGGCCCTAACCCCTGGAATATACAAAATGTTACACAGATGCTATATGTACACTGGGGAAGGGGGGCCACCCCAGCAGCCCGTGCCCTCACCTGTTCTACACTTAGCCCCACTGTCCCACTTCAGCTGCCTCTCTGAATAAGAAGATGGGAGCTCCCCTGAGGGAAAAGTTGCTTTGGTGAGAGTAGGGAGGCCATCCCAGGCCTCCTCCAAACAAACCAGCTCCACCAGCCTCTGGCTCTTCAATAACAAACATCATCGTCCAGGAATGTAAGGACTCAGCCCTGGTCAAGGTGGCAAAGGGTCTGGTTGTCTGCCCCCCATTAGACAGGGATCTTGTCTTGCTACCTTAATGGTAAAGGGGTGACTGGGAAGGGGTGATAGGGACACGGTGGGGGTGAAGACTCCAGCCCCACTTCTCCAGGCTTATGCTGACAGGGGCCTGCTTTTATTTATTTTTATCCTATGACTTTTTTTTTAATCCCATAACTTCTTTTTCATAATACTTTTTTAAAAACTTGTCATAAATGTTATCCTACTTTTTTTCCACAACACTTTTTTTTTGCCACAACTTTTCCACAACATTGTTTATCCCATAACTTTTTCATCCACAACTTTTTTATCCCGTAACTTTGGTTTGTGTTTTTCTAATAAACACACTTGCATAGTTACAATTTTGTAAAAATAAAATCCGATGATCTCATGCCAAGCGTGCCCAGCATTTGCACAGTCTCAATATCTTTAACACCATAGTTTCCAAGACACACAAAATTTTATGGCAAAAACAGCACTTTGCAACAATTTCCTAACTTACTGCATTGCAGTAGCATCATAGTAGCAGTCAATAATGGCACTTTAGACAACAGTCTTTCAGTACTTCCATTATACATTCTGTTGACAGGAATTCATAAATTGGTAAAAGTCATTCTAAGAAAATTCGGCAAATAAAGCTTGGCATTGGAATTGGCATTTCTTTCTCTACTTTTCCTTCCCCCAGGTTCTTTCTATTAAACTACAGTATTCGCATTTTAACATGCTTTAACTTATTTCAAAACATTAAGATAGCAGTTATATTTTTGAATAGTTATATTATTTTAAAGTGACTCTGTAAGATACAGTTTTAGAGAAACTGTATTATGGATAGGGCTGATGTACCTTTTCACATTTTCTAAATATCAGCTTTGGTTTTAGAACTGATTTTTTTTTTTCATTTCTAGAAAACCTATCAGGTTTAATCAAAAACTTTAAAAATAATGACCATATATTGCAATCTTTAAATAGGTATTTTGATTCTTCTAACAGAAATTCAAATTTATTCAGTTGAACTCACATTTTCAAATTTTATATTTCTGATGATCTCTAACCTTCTAGTGTTGCCTTCTAAGCAAATTGAAAGCTGCCTTATACCGAATGAGGAAGAGAACATTACTTGGCTGAATGAGGTATTGCAAAGACTGCATGCTTTGAAGAAACACTTAAGTTATTGTCATAGGATTTCCATTCTTTTTAGCTTTTTCTGAAACATAGGACAAAATCCCTACACAAAGAGTGGTATTTAGAAACTGTACCACTGTTAATTAGCCACACTATTTGGTCTAACAGTTTTTCTTTATCATTCTGAAACTGGGTTTATCCAATACTTTGATAAATTCATACAATTTGGAAGAGTCAGTTGAAGCACCAATATTTGTACTCTTTCAGTGAATGCAGGCAAATCTGTTATTTCATCTGTAAAATCATATTATTGCTCTCCTATTAATGTCATATTGATAAAAGTATCATGAGGATGCCAAATGCTAAAAATGGAGATGGTCTAGTAACTAGAATTGCACACCCCAGGGAGCGCACATACATCTCTCCCTACATCCTAATACCGTGATGTATTTTGGAACACACACATTAGAACTTCATGAAGTTTTAACTGTTGATTCTTTCTCAAGCATCATGAAGTTATGATTTAGGCAACGTATGACTGAAATAATTCATTCATCCTGTATAGGCACATAAATATAGCACAAAATATGCCTCTAACTGAAACCAAGAGGTACAAAAACATATTTCACTCTTCATAAAGAACTTTGTGAGGAAATATAATTCTGTGATTGTGTAGATACTTTTACTCATAATACTTTGACATTCACAAACAGTGGACTGCATTGCAGTTTGTAAATATTTTAAGTTGCATAAACTTCTTGATTTTCAAATGTAGTATAACACTGTCCACTAAAACTGCTTTTTGTTTCAACAAATACTCTCAAATGTATTACTTTATTAAAATGGTTATTATTTTTAAAGTGTTTTCCATTCAAGGAAAAGAAGTAATTCCTATGTCAGATTAACCAATGTGGTTGAAGAATAGGTATTAGCCAGAGAGGTCTAGATGGTAAAATCAATCTTCTAGCCTCAAAGAAGCTCCGTGAACATAGAGGAATGCCAGGTGTCACACAGCTTTCCTTCAGTCGAATTCATTCTTGACTAGAGCCTGTATGCCTGTTCCAGGGACATTTAAACTCTGAAAGGGTTTCTTATGATCGTCACTAAATACACTAAGACGAATGCCAAGCAGTGCCCTTTTGTGTACTGGGACATGTAGTCATGTGATTAAAACAGGTAACATGAACTCTGACGTTAAAATGTATTGTGGATGTGAAAGCTCTAAGCTAGAAAAGATTTTCCACATCCAGTCAATGACAGGAGCCTTTCATTCCTCAGAAATAATCCCTTTTAGGTCATTGAGAAAGAGTCCAACCGCTGCAGCTCATGCTGCGATATCTTCATGAACCCAGAGCACGTACAAATCCTAAGGGAACTACCATAGTACCGCGCTCATTCCTGGCACCAGAACAAATGAAACACACTCTATCCCGCACACACCTGCCAGAGCAGGCCACTTTCCTCTTCTGTGAGATTTAAAAAGCTCCCCAAAATGTTATCACTCCCATCCCCAATACACAGAAAATAGGGGAAAATCTGTTTCCAGTTCTCGGCCTTTAAACAACTCTAAATGTCAGTATTCACAGGGGCATATTACAAAGTAAGAAACAGTGCGCACTTGAGGGCAAACCACGTATTGAGCTAATGAAGAGCTCACTGTGATTAGGAATCGATCAAACATAATAGCAGAACATAAGCAAATTTTATCTGAATTCTGTAATGAATATACATGCTGCAATAACATTTAAAAAGCAGGGCAGCCTATTCCAAACCAGTAAGAATAGTTTTGTGCAAATAGTGGGTCTTTGTGTGTTTGAACTCCCACCATGTAAGGGCAAACTTGATATGTGAGCTAATGACCTACAATTATCAATTAAAAACAACAATGCTAATGGATGCCAGAGTGAATATCAGGGAAAGATCCCTCTCCCTTAACTTTTTATAAATAAATTTAAACTGTAAATTAGAAACATAAATAAACATGAGGGGTTCTAACATTCCAAGAAGTAGATGAATTGTGTAAGGGATTAACCCCATAACTTTTTGTTGTTGATTTTAAATTTCTTGACCAGCTCTCAGATGATGATGATGTTTATCTCTCTGTTCTTGGCTGCCCGGTAAAAGAATGGCACGCAGGGTTTGGTGGCCAAGCCTGGGTGCTCCTGGGTGTCCTTCGTTACAGGAAGCAGCTGCAGGATCTTCAGTGCAGTGGGGTTGTCACGGGGAGAACCCTCCCTGGCCTGTCCCGGTGCAGGCTCCACGCTGTCCTGAAAATCTTCAGAAAGAGGGAGGCGGGGCTCTGAGTACACTGCGAGCCTCCCCTGCTCCGGCCTGCCCACCCCGCCTGAGGGCTCTACTCACCACTCTGCTCCTCCACAGCCCCAAGTTCCTGGGGGGCTGGGGCCCCTGGAGCGGGCTCATTAACAGGGTTCTGGGCAGCAGGGAGGAATTTGTCATGCCCCTCATGGTCGCCCACAACCGGCAACACCATATCTTGCAGCTCCAGCAGCTTCACCTGAAGGGAGGGGTGCTCAGTTACCACGCCTGAGCCAGCGCCAGCACCCACCCTCACCCCACCCCCGCAGAGATGTTGCACACCCTCTACCTTCATCTCCTCCTCGTTCTGGGCCAGCCTGCTGGCTTCCTCCTCCTGGTGCCGCGTGTTTGGCCCTGCCCTCTGGCTCTCATATACCGTGATGTGCTCTCCTGTGAGAGGACACGGCTCAGACACTGGGGCCCCTCTGAAGGCCCTGCAGCTCCCCGTGCCCGTGCCCTGGCCTCCTGCTTACTCATGCCATCTGTCGCTCCAGAGAGCTGGAAGAATCCAAGCTCTAGTTTCTCCACCTGCTGCTTCCCGTCCACCTTCTCCCTTGGGAGGTCCATAAAGCTGCTCTGGAGCCAAAATAATAAGGTCACATCACGGGAGTGACCTGTCCTGCCCCGCCCCCACTTTTCTTGGCCCATGCCAGGACTCGCTCACCTTCACCTTCTCCATGGCCTCCTACAGGGCCCGGTAGCTCTCCCCACACACAAACTCACCCCCAGTCCCTGGGGCTGGGGCCTCTGCCTCTGGCTCCTTCCAGGCCGAGGCCACCAGGTGAGCCAGGTGCAGGCAGCACAGCCTTCACACCTTCCGCTGCCCACATAGCCGTGCCTGCTCCTCCTGGGAACTGGCTCCAGCGGAGTTGAAAAATGCCACTTGAAGGCAAGAGCTGAGTATCCTTGTAGGGGCATACACAGAACAAATGGGGCAGGGAGGTGGAGCACAGCCCCTTCCCTTGAGGTCTCAGAGAGTGCACCTGTTGGTCACAGGTGAAGTGGTGTCTGACCACTGGCTCCCGGAAGGGGTGAGGGTCCAGAGAAATCAGAAGGCGGGGAAAGCAAGAGCATGAGGGGGTCTGGGAGGGACCACGGAGGAAGGTGGCAAAGTGCGGACAGGGAAAGTCAGACTCACCGTGGCCTCCTGGCTCTCCAGGTCCTCTGGGACACTCGGCATAGGCCGAGGCACCCCCTCCTCCTCAGTGTCCAGATGTCCTCCTCCATCTCCTGTGGGGAGATGGCCAGAGGGGTCCTCAGAAAACCCAACAAGGGAAGTACTGTGGGCCCACCTCTGTCCCCACCCTCACTGTGTAACCCTGAGCCAGCCCCTCCCCAGAGGGGAATGAGCTGCTGTTCTTTAGTTTTCCTATAAGATCCAAGATCTTCTATATTGCCCAGGCACAGTCACACTAGCGGTTGGTGCGGGAGTTCTGACCTGCTCCCTTTCTGATCTGGGCCAGTTCACTCATCCTTAGGCAACCTGGTGGCCCCCTGCTCCCGGGAGGTCATCATATTGATGCCGAACTTAGTGCAGACACCCGGTTGGCTTAACAACCAGCTGTTCTAAAGGTCTCTTCCAACCCCTCAATCCTATGCTGCTAACAGTCCCCCCTTCCTCCTGGGGCCCTCTCCTCTTCCTCTGAGTGGTCTCCTGTACCTTGTCCAGGGAGAGCCATGAGACTCAGCTGGGCCTCTAGCTGTTGGTTCTGCTGGCTGGCAGCTTCTAGGAACTCCTAAGGGAATGGAAAACAGAGTGAGAAGGCACAGAGGTTGCCAGGTCGTCCCCCTCGGGGCCCTGTCCTCAGCGACTCCCTCTCCTGGGTCTCCTGCAACTTTTGGCAGGCCATCTCAGCCACCGCTTTGCCCTGAGCTTCCTGCTGCTGCAGCTGGTCCACGAGCTGGGTCTGCAGCAGTAAATGCCTGTGCGGCGCCTCCTTCTCAGAGGTCAGCTGCTAATGGGTGACCACGTACTGCTGCAGGTGACCCCGGTACTAGTCTCACTGCTGCTGCTGCAGACTCTGAGACTCTTGGCTCTTCAGCTGTATCTGCAGGAAGACCCTGGGCATGAGGGCATGTGGTGGTTGGCTTCCAGATTCTGGGCCCATTAATAGGGTAACGAGGGCACGGTGGGGCTCTGTCACCTGCCCTGGCCCCTTGCTCCAGGCCTAAGAGACTTCCCCCCTTGCCTAGAACCCCATGCCTCCTTCCCCAGCCTCAAATCTCCTGTCCATCTTCCCACCATTTAAACTGTAGACCACAGACTGGTGGAAAAGCAGAAGGAACCAATCACCATCTGCTAAGTGTGCTCCATGCCTAATGCTTTCCATGTGTTCTCTCATTTAATCCACAGCACCTCCATAAGAAAAATGCTAACTTCCTTTTGAAGCTAAAGAAACAGAGACTTAGAGATGAAAAGTAGTTGATGGTGACCAGTGGAACCGAGGCCGGAATCCGGTTTGAATCTAAGGAGGCTTTTTTCTTTTGTTTAGAGACAGTGTCACCATGTGGCCCATACTGGAATGCAGTGGTGCAATCTCAGCTCACTGCAACCTCCACCTCCCAGACTCAAGAGATTCTCATGCCTCAGTCTCCTGAGTAGCTGGGATTACAGGCATGTGCCACCATGCCGGGCTAATTTTTTGTTGTTGGTATAATTTTAGTAGAAATGAGGTTTTGCCATGTTAGTCAGGCTGGTCTCAAACTCCTGACTTCAAGTGATTCTCCTGCCTCAGCATCCCAAAGTGCTGGGATTACAGGCAGGAGCCACTGTGCCCAGCATAAGGACCCTCTTATACCACTGTCTCCACCCCTATGATTGGGGGAATCCATGCCTCTAGCTGGGAAGATGATGTCCAGACCTGGGAGGAGCCCAGGGCTACCCACCTCTAAAAGTCAGAGGGTAGGAAGCAAGAAACAGTCATGGAGCTGCCCTGGAAGGTGCTGGGGTCACCTGCCCCCCAGCTGGAGCTTCCTTTGGCCTGGCACCTCCCCTCCCCAGAAGCTGGTGCCTGCCTCCCAGCCCTTCTTGGATGGGGCAGAGGTTACCATCTCCTTCACCTTGCTCAGCTTCTCCTGCAGCTCCTTTACTTGCTGCTCCAACTGCAGTGTGCTTTTGTTCTCGTTGTTCTGGACAGAGAGAAGCAATCAGTGGTCAGCCACTGCAGCTGGAGACCCCAGAACTTGGTGTCTGCCTCCCATGTCACCGGAAAGGGTGGAGGTAGGTTAGAAAAATCATCCCCTCTCCCCTACAGCCATCAGAGCAGGGCCTGATGAGCTCTGGCTCACAGATGCCTTTAGAAGTACCATGTCATGTGAGGGCTACACTGCCCCATTTTACAGGTGGGGAAACAAAGGCCTGGAGGGCTAGGGATGAGGGCAGGCTGCCCAGGTGGGGCAACCCACCAGATCCTCAAAGCTGCACTGTGGCTCGGCCAGCTGCTTGTTGAACTTGTGGTTCTGGGAGAGCGCGAGCCTCTCCTCCTGTATTCGCAGCCTCTTCTCCTGTTTTCGCAGCCTCTCCTCCTTCTCCCACAGCCTCTCTTCCTGCTTTTGTAGCCTCTCCTCCTCCTTTCGCAGCCTCTCCTCCTGCTTTCGCAGCCTCTCACCCTGCTCCCCCAGCCTCTTCTGCTTCTCCCGAAGCCTCTTCTTTTGCTCACATAGTCTCTCCTCCTCCCGCAACCTCCTCTCCTCCTGCTTTTGAAGCCTCTCCTGCTGCTCTTGGAGCCTCTCCTCCTGCTCCTGGAGCCGCTGCTTTTGTTCTTTGCTCAGGAGACTCAAGGCCTGATTGTTTTCCACCTGGGATTGGAGTTTTCCCACCAAACTCTCCACCTCCTTCCTCAGGTGTTTGGCCTCATCTTGTAGCTGATCCACCTCAGAGGGCCCTGCTGGGTCCACTGGGGATGGAGGCTCAGCTGAGAAATGAAGCAGACAATAAGGGCCTCTGGATTCCCCACCCACCACCCCCCCTCAAAGAAAAAGCCCTCCTTTTGATGCACAGCTCCTCTCAGGCTTCCCAAACTTGGCCTCACTGCTAATGATTCCTCGCACCCGATGGTAGCCAATTTCCAGGCCATGTCAGATAGAAAGCACTGTGGGTGGCTGACAACGGCACTCCTCGCTCTTAGCTGATGGGGACCCTGAGGCTCATGCAGATGACAAGACTTGCCAGCTGCTGGCACAGACCTCTTTCCCTCTGCCTCAAAGCCCTTCCATTCACCCACCTCCCTGGGGCATCCTAAGCCACCCCACAGCCCTCTGATGCCAGTCCTGCTCCCAGGTCACACCAGCCCCACCTTACCTATCTGGTGTTTGCGTTCGGACAAGCTCCTCTCCAGCTCCTGTATCCGATGTATGTCACGCTTCTTCTCCTCCTTCAATGTGCGAGCCTGCCCAAAGCACAGGGGGAAAGGGTCCTGGAGAGAGGGGCTGGTGGCTGGACAGGCTACCATCTTCCTCTCTGCCCCCACCTCCACAAAGCCCAGACCCATGACCACCTCTGGCTGTACTCTTCCCATTTTACAGATGCCCAGAAAGATCCAGTGACCTATCTAAGGTGGGGGCTGAAGGGTCAGGTCTCACCTCCACCGACATTTTCCACATCCTCTCCTGCCACCGAGCCCTCTCTCCTTTTATATGTTGAGCATATTCGTCTCTCTCCAGTTGGACTTGTTTAAGTGACTCTGTCACCTGCAAGAATGGCCACAGAAGTGAGGAAGGGCTGTCACTGGTCCTCACCTGCTCCTGGTCAGCTGGGGTCATCTTCCCTCCACATCCCTCCCTCTGCAAAGCCTCACCTGTGTCACGTGTGCGTTCAGCAGCGCCCGCTCCTTTCTGGTCTGATGTAACTGCCGCTGGAGGACGGCTTCACTGCGGCTCGAGGACTGGATGGTGAAGAGTGAGAAGTTTTGATGTGGGGAGCCCGGGCAGTGCCCCTTAAAGGGCTAGGGCTAGGCTCAATGTACAACTTGATCAGTAAAGATCAAGGCATTTCCAAGCCCGTGGCCTGGTTTTTAAAAGAACTCAGTAAAGTTGGAAGGGACAGGGAAAGAGATCGAACTTACAGCTGGCTAACAGAGGCCCAGAGAGATCAGATAACATTGCTGTTGTTATTACTGTTATTAATACCACTGTTTGAACCTTTATGGAGTGCTTCACCAGGTTCCATACTAGCAATCCCATGTCATCCTCACAACCACCATATGAGACAGTTACTAGGATTACCTCTATTGCGTAGATGAAAAACATGGAGTGTTCGAGGTTAAGTGCTTGCCTAAGATCACTGAGACAGAGCTGGGATTTGAACACCCAGGTCTATCCGATTCTCTAAGCCCATTTTCCTTGCTGGGCATGGGGGCATAGAAAGGAAGGGGAAATTAATCTTTTGTTCACTTTTTGAAAGGATGATACATTCACACAGTCCAAAACTCAGAAGGTACACCATAGAAGTGTCTCCCAGCCGCCCTGTTACTCGCTCCTGAGTTTTTTGCGAACCCTTGCAGACATGTTTCATGCATATTATCATAGTATGTACACACACACAGACACAGACACACACACACACACACCTTTCCTCTCTCTACAGAAATGGTGACGTACTAAAGGTCCTCTTCTGTACCTTCATAGTACAATACCCAATACCCCACCTAGGATTTGGCCAAGGCCACAGCCAGGTAAGGGCAGGGCAGGCACTTGGTGTTCAAGCTGTGTGTGCAGTGCTCACTCCCCCCAGTGCCCCTCAACTCACCCACAGCAGCTGACTCAGCCCCAGGCTATCTCTAACAACCACACACAATAGCAGCGAGAAATGAGCATGCTGCCTTCTGGGCAGGACACTGCATCCTGCAGAAGGGACCTTTACACTCTCTCCTCCATCTGGGAAGCCAGGCTGCCAGGGGATGGGGCAGTTGGTTGGACTCACCCTGTCCTCTTCCCACTGCTGTGTACACACAGCAGAGAGAGCCCGCTCCAATTCTTGAATACGCTGTAAAGAGTATTGCAGGCGGCCGGCCAGATCCTTGGACTCTTCTGTAATGACAGAGGTGGAGATGGGGCCCAAAGGAGTCCCCCTAAAGACCTGTCTAAGTGCCAGGGTGAAGGATGATGGGATGCCCAGATTCCCACCTTCGAAGTGTCTGGCGGCACGTTTAGTATGGTAAAGGGTGGTCTTCAAGTCTGCCTTTTCCAATGTGAGGATGTTGATTGTCTGGAATTGAACGTTTGGGAGAAAAGCCAAGCAAGTGCTGAAAGAGACGGAAAGAAACATTCTCCGGAGGACAGGAGAAAACTCCCCACCCTCCACTCACCTCTAACTGCTCCGTCTGTGCTTTGTGTATGTCATTGTTTGCTTTCTTTTCCTGTAGGAAGAGGAAGACAGAGCTCTTACCCGGGGGAGGCAGAGATGGCCCAGCAAGAGACATGCCCCCGACATGCCACCAATGCCCCAGCACAGTCCCACCCATGGAATCAGATTATCAGGGACCCTGTGGGTATGGGGTGGAATCTGAGGGGTGAGCCTTCTTCCCCAGGCTGGGAGTGGGTGAGATGGGACTGGCGCCTCTACATCTGAGTGCCCCCCAAACCCAGCAGTCATGTTGTGAGCAAACAAAGAAATCACGTTACTTTTTCCAGCTGATGTTCCACTTGTTTCTTCTGTTGTTTCTGTGGGGACAGTCAAATTCAGGGGACTGAGGGGGGCCCCCTCAACTCTATCCCCCAGGAAGCGGTAGGCAGGGGCCAGGAATGAATTTTAAAGACAACATTCTCAGACCCAATGGCAACATGAACGGGCAACTGTCCTCCAGCTCCCAAAGACAGAGGATTTGGGTCTTTGTTGGATTTTGCCCACAGCCACAGAACTCAAAGTCTGAATCTGGATTCTCTCCAAAGGACAGTAACATAAACCTCTAGGGACAGAGTGTGAGAAAGGCCCACCCTTCTGCCAGCTTGTGATTGAGAAAGGTGCGTTCATTCAACAAACATTTACTGAGCACGTACGAGCCAGGTACAGTTCTTCACAGCAGATATAGAATGGAAAAGGACAGACAGGAGCCCTTGGCCCTCAGGTTTCCATTGTAGGAGCCTTTAAATCTCAGACTCTCAGAGCTAACCGAGACCTTTGATGCTCTACCTCCTTCGGAAACACCAGCGCAAGGAGGAGAGGTGGCTTGTCCAGACTCAAAGAGCAAATTAGGGACTGAGTCACAGCAGAAATACAGGGCCCCTGACAAACCATCAGGCTAGTGCTTCCCCGAGAGGTGACAACCCCAGGGCATGTGTGGCAAGGACCAGAGCAGGGGTGTCTGGAGAAGAGAGAGTCGGCAAAGAGGACAGTGACAGAAGAGCCATGCTGCATGCTCCTTGCTCTGGGGTCCCTCCTGGTGAGGCCTGGGTGCTCCAGGTCCCCATTTGCCCTTGGCCTCAGGGGCCCTCAGCCCCTTTCTTCAGAGCCCCAAGGGGAAACTAAAGCTCAGGATTGGCAGTGTGGAATCACAGGACCCCACTGGACTCTTACCAGTGATTCTATGTTTTCATAGAGTTGATTGATTGTTGTGGAGCTTGAGTCCAGAGCTACTTCCAGTTCTTGGTTCCAGCTCTGAGGCGCATGCAGAGAGGAGGAGTTGGAGGAGGATTGTGGGAAGAGGTAGAGAGAACAATCATTAGGGCTGGGGTGTGTGTGGACTGTCTCAGCTGGCAGAGGGGCACACAGCCCCCACTGTGACAGGAGGTTGGAGGGCTGGCCTGCAGGGTCACTGCACCTTGGCTCAGGGCCTCTTACCTCCAGATCCTTCAGGGTAGCTGATGATGCAGGAGTAATAAAAAAGAGAAATTAAAAAAAAAAAAACGTACAGGGAAACAGTTATGGATATAGAGAAAGTATAAAAACAGCAAAGGGGCCGGGCCCAGTGGCTCACGAATGTAGTCCCAGCACTTTGGGAGGCTGAGGCAGGTGGATCAGTGGAGGTCAGGAGTTCAAGACCAGCATGGCCGACATGGTTAAACCGCGTCTCTAATAAAAATACAAAGATTAGCTGGGCGTGGTGACAGGTGCCTGTAATCCAGGTTACTAAGGAGGCTAAGGCAAGAGAATCACTTGAACCTGGGAGGCAGATGTTATAGTGAGCTGAGATCGCACCACTGCACTCCAGTCTGGGTGACACAGTGAGACTGTCTCAAAAAAAAAAAAAAAAAAAAAAAAAAAAAATCCCCAAATCGCACATGCCTGCTCTGTATGTTATTCCCAAGTTACTTTTAAACTTTAAGGTCTCACCATTTCCAAGATGATAAAAGATGCGGGGAAGGATAAAACCCAATCAATCAAGCAGGTGAAGAAGCAGACATAAACAGGATGAAGGTTAATGGCAGCAACATAAAACAAGGCAGAGGCAAAGTATCCCCAAAACCAGAGAAGCCTCAGGGGCATGCACAGCTGGAGAGAGCAAGCCAGAGAGGGGTCCTGGCACTGCCTCACCTTCCACTTGTGCAATGGGGGAGCGCTACCCCACTGGAATGGTTAAGGTTGGACACCATCACCTTCAGAATGTCCTGAATCTATAGGAGGGCACAAGGGAAAAACAAGGGCAGGGGAAAAAGACAGAAGTGGCTTAGAGAGAAACAAAAAAGTCAGGGTACGAGGAAGATGTGGTTTCAGGAAAATAAAACGCTGAGGAAGAGCAGAGGAGATTGAAACCATGGCCTGTGCCATTCTTCCAAATGGCCACCTGCTGCCTTGCCAGGGGCAGGAACAAATAGATGGAAAAGTTCCTGAGCGATGCAGTCACAGGGTGGAGTCACCTGACCAACGCAGCTCTTAATATGCTCACTGGACCCCTCTCCTCAGGCCCAGGATGTGGACGATGAATCTGGTAGAGCTCCAGACCTCCACCTCTATTAAAAAACCAGACTCCTGACTAAGGGTTCACTTGAACTAAGGGGGCTCCAGCTAAAAAACAAGTTTGAAAGACACTGATCTTATCCAGTATCATCTTACAATGGAGAAAACTGAGGCCCAGGGGAAGAAGTGATTTTTCTGTGGTCACTCAGCAAGCTGGTGGCAAGTTAGATCTTCTCTTACTCCTAGTGCCTGGGGCTCTCCTCACCACACCCTGAGCCCCCTTCTGTGACTCCTAAAGGGACAGCTTGATAGCAAGTGGCTGTACTCATTGGCCCAGCTCTCCCTTGAGACTGGGGATCAGGAAAATCAAACAGCAATGACCATTTCCTGGGTATCCTGGGTGTTCACAGCAGGACATGTACTAGGGATTAACATAAAAACAACAACAATATGGAATATCATTTAAACTTCAGAAATGAAAATCAAACAACACTACCCGTATTTTATAGATGTGAAAAGAGAGGCCCAAAGAACTCTAGCAACTTGCTATAAATCAGATCCCTAGCCAATGGAGAGGCAGGATTCAAACCCAAAATTCTTAACCAGTACCCAGCAATCTTAACAATTACCCTCTACTGCCCCCTTGGGCCACCTGTCCCCAGGAGCCTGGCCAGCCAAGACTCACATCCCCAGGTGAGTGGCAACCACCAGAAGTGGTTGTCTCAGGGCTACTGCCAGTTTTCTTCTTTTTTGTCTTCGCTCCTGCCGGAACACCACGGCTCTTCCTCTGCTGATATTCTTTTAGCTGTGGGAAAGAAGAGCAGTCATACTCATGAGGACTACCAGCCCCTACGGCCATGTCCCCTTTACAGTTTTTCAAAATACTCTTATACACCATCTGACTTAATGTCACCAACAACTGTACAAGGTGTTTTCACAATCACTTACTGATTGAGAGGGATGGATATTATGGCTAAAAAAAAGGGAGGGTGGGCAATAATGGGACTTAAATTCAGTCTTCTGAGTCCAAGCTCTGGGGTTTTGCCATAAATCAGCAGCTGCCAGAGACCAAAATCAGAGCCAGAGGTAGAAAACTAAACATTAAGTAGGCAGGAACTGCACACTGTGTGGTTTGGAGTCACACATCCTCACACGTCTGTAAGTGTGAAGAAGTGCACCAGGACCTCTCAAACTTTTATATCCATGTGTCCTCATGGCAGAAGGCAGCTTTTTTGTTAAATCTGGGACTTTATCAGAAAAAGGACAACCCAAGTCTCATTTCAGAGAGAAGTCTGGTATACTCTTAGAAACGTATGTGACTGTCATCCCTAAGTACATTAGCGTTTTTTCTCTCTCAAGAGAATCAAGGGAAACTGATGCTTCAGAAAGATCTCCCACATTTATCCTGTGGCACTCAAAGTACCCCAAGTTGAGATGATATGAGGAAGATTCAAGCTGTCAAGTTCAGTTTTCCACAGAAGATAAGCAAATCTCACTTCAGAGACCACTGACTGAAGGGCAGTCTGGTCCCAGAACTGTGGAGAATTAGAATATGAGGTGGAGAACTCAGAAAAACATGTTAAAGTTTCTCTGGAGAGTAGAAGGCTAGGAGAAAACCAAACCAAACCCATTCTCCCATTGCCACCCAGAGATGCTGTCAACGTTTGAGCTCACAGGGGAAGTGTAGGCTTTTCACAAAGTCAATGTCTATGCAAAGGGGGTAAGGCAACCTGAAACCTGTTGCTCCTAAGTCCCATAGTCCCCATTCCCCTCCCAGCTGGAAATGTGTGCTGTGGCCAGAGGAACCAGAAATGGGGTGAGAATGCTTAGGGGACTGGGTTGTAAGATCATAGGCCAGTCTTGAAGCAGTAATGACAGTTCCTAGGGGAACTGTGATGTCACTACATTCTACTCCTCCTGGGGGTGGGGGGAACCACATCAGTGCAATGGCTGAGTTGCTGATCCATGATGGGGGAGTGGGACGTAGGGCTGGTGCCCAGGCCTTTGGAGATGCCGGTCCAAAGAGCCCAGGGAGGTCAGGCTTGGGTCAGCAGGAGGGGAGAGTACAGTCTGCAGCAGGAAACTCCAGGAGTCAGCAGCCCAAAATCACCCGGGGATGACTGGCGATGGTGGGGGACTGGGGCTGGGGGACCCAGGTCCTCGGACAGCTGAACCCAAAGAACCCAGGGAGGTTGGGCTTGGGGCAGCAGGATGTGAGGGGCGAGTACGGAGCAGGGAGCCCCAGGAGTCACCTGCCAAAAGTCACCATGGGGCGACTGGCGAGGGCAGAGGCTGGGCTGCTTGCTGAGGGGGCAGGACTGACTGATGAGACTTTGGTGGGGGGAGCCCAGAGGTGCCCAGCCCAGTGTGCCTCAGGAGTGCTATGTACTCTGGCAGTGGTCTTGTCATCGGAGGGGATCTCTGGCTAGGTTGGGGGGCCATGACCTGTTGTGTCTTACCTTTTTCTTGGCTGCTGCCAATTGACTCCGTTGAGTCTCGTCTAACATCATGGGGTGGGGAGGGAGGCAGGGTTGGGGCCACATCAGCGAACACCTCCAGTCACCTACCAGGCGGCTGTGTGACTGAGCCAGAGGAGGCGTAACCAGGGCCCCACTAGAATGCAGAATGGGGGCGTGGCCTTAATTCTCCAAGCCCATTGGTCAATGAGAAAGATGAAAAGGAAAGGAGGCGTGGCCAGGGAGCAGTGTGGCCAGAGGAACCTGTGATATCACAAGGAAAGCTGCCCATGCTACTGCTGTCCCCGCCCACTTGGGGAGAGGGGCGGGGCCTGCCTTCTCCGGGAGGGGGGGGCGTGGCTGGCTTTTGCTTTAAAACGTTCAAAATAAACTTTAAAAAGTATATGTGTTTATACTCTAAATATATGTGTGTCAGTGTGTGTGTGTGTCCACATGTTCCTCCAGAGCTCTCTTCATTATCCAGCTTCTATGCATGGTCTATGATTTTGGCCTACATTTTTCACCTTCACATGGAGTACAAGAATTACCAGTATTACCTCAATTGAGACAAATCCTATAAAAATGGAAAATCCAGAGCATGTTTGATGACTAATGAAGTGGACTATATTATCCAACATTCCAATAAGGTAAAATAATCACAATGATTTGTGTTTTTTGGAAAAACATTTCTTTTATTCTCCTACATTATTAAGATTTTTTTAAAAAACAAGAAACATGTCTAATATCTTTAAAAACACAAAGCTTTTGGGCTGGGTGCGGTGGCTCACACCTGTAATCCCAACATTTTGGGAGGCCTAGGCGGGTGGATCACCTTAGGTCAGGAGTTCAAGACCAGCCTGGCCAACATGGTGAAACCCCGTCTCTACTAAAAATACAAAAGCTAGCCAGGTGTGGTGGTGGGTACCTGTAATCCCAGCTACTCAGGAGGCTGAGGCAGGAGAATAACTTGAACCCGGGAGGTGGAAGTTGCAGTGAGCCAAGCTCACACCACTGCACTCCAGCCTGGGTGACAGAGTGAGACTCCATCTCAAAAAAAAAAAAATAAATAAATAAAGTAAAAGAGTCAAAAGTAAATAAAAACACAAAGCTTTCAACTTAATAAGCACTCAAAGCTCTTTCTGGTTTAAAGTATATACAAGGTCTATTTTTCTAGAATCACCTGACCTCTCTAAGCCTTGCAAATGAAACTGAATTTCTCACTTGATACTTGGCTATGACTTACAATCATGAAAACCAAAAAATGTGTTATGTCACTGTGTATTGCTTGTTACCTGAATTCCACACTAGGCTGAGATCAAGGGTTGAATCTTTCACGATTTGCTTCATAACCTATGAGCTTCTTTTCCCACACCAAACTAAGCTTTTTTCTAGAATTCTACAATTTACAGTTAGTAGACAAGAGGGTTCTCAAAAATGTAGTCTCTGGACTAGCAGCACCAGCAGAACCTGAGAACTTTTTTAAGTGCAAATTCTCAGGCCCCACCCTGGACCTGGTGAATCGGAAACTCTGGAGTAGGGCTCAGCAATCTGTGCAGTAATCCCTCCAGGTGTTCAAGAACCTCTGGCATACAGCAGGTAGAAAAATGTGTTTCCTTCTGTAGGTCCAAAGCCAGACATACTATATGTTCTGTCTTGATACGAAACCATGACATGCAATTAAAACACATAAGTTTCCTTCCTACTCCCACCCTCCATCCGAAGTGTTCTATTTTTATGAGTTAATAAGAAAACAAGTGGCAATCAGAGATTCACTCTAAAAAGTATATTTACAAGTGTCAGTGCTCATCCAGCCTGATCTCATACAGTACCATTTACACCCTCCTACCTCTCAAGTTTTAAAAACTTATCTTCACAATGTAAGTCTCAGGCACACTAGCAGTTCTACAGTAAAACACCAAGTAGGTTGGAATGTCCAAACTTACTACAGAAGAAAAGGGGAATGATTGGCTGTATTTTCTTTTCTTTTCTTTTTTTTTTTTTTTTGAGACAGAGTCTCGCTCTGCCGCCCAGGCTGGAGTGCAGTGGCCGGATCTCAGCTCACTGCAGGCTCCGCCTCCCGGGTTCACGCAATTCTCCTGCCTCAGCCTCCCCAGTAGCTGGGACTACAGGCGCCCGCCACCTCGCCCGGCTAGTTTTTTGTATTTTTTAGTAGAGGCGGGGTTTCACCGTGTCAGCCAGGATGGTCTCGATCTCCTGACCTCGTGATCCGCCCGCCTCGGCCTCCCAAAGTGCTGGAATTACAGGCTTGAGCCACCGCGCCCGGCGATTGGCTGTATTTTCAAATTGCATTCAACCAGAAATGTAAGTTTTGGATTCTTTTCACCTTCACACTTCCAAGTTAATAGAATTAAATCAAAATACTCCATTCTTTCAAAGCCTGTAAGCCAGGCAAAGTTTGACTGTATTACTCTTGCTTTCAATGGATATAAAGCAGAATCGTGGTAGGCACATTTTGTATGCCTGCAAAGATACAGAAATACACAGTTCCATCTGTTCAATATTAAAAACAAAAGTCCTGCAAACCTCAGATGGTGAGTGTAATACTTCAGCACTAGCACCAAAGCCTCAAACATAAAAAGATACCAAGAACTCCACTAGCAAACAAAATGAGCTCTTGGCCGGGAGCAGTAGTTCACGCCTGTAATCCCAGCACGTTGGCAAACCAAGGTGGGAGGATCACTCTATGTCAGGTGTTCAAGACCAGCCTGGGCAGCACAGTGAATTCACATCTCTACAAAAATTTTTAAGAATTAGCTGGGCATCGTGGCACACACCTGTAGTCCTAGCTACTTGGGAGGATGAGGTAGGAAAATTGCTTCAGCTCAGCAGTACAAGGCTGTGGTAGCTATGATCATGCCACTGCACTCCAGTCTGGGTGACAGAGCAAGATCTACATAATTACAGTCTGTCCTGCTCCTGTTTATGTTAAAATGCTTTCAATCAGCAGGATAAAATTTAAGTGAAATGTGACTTTGGAGGTTGGCCAGAAAATAGGCAATGGAGAAACAGGCACTTCCCACAAGAAAAAAAATGACCAATAAGCATATAAAAAAGATTCAAGGCTGGGTGCCATGGCTCATGTCTGTAATCCCAGCACTTTAGGAGGCCAAGGTGGGTGGAACACCTGACGTCAGGAGTTCGAGACCGGCCTGACCAACATGATGAAACCCCATCTCTACTTAAAAATACAAAAATTAGCCAGGTATGGTGGTGGGTACCTGTAATCCCAGCTGCTTGGGAAGCTGAGGCAGGAGAATGGCTTGAACCCAGGAGACAGAGGTTGCAGTGAGCCGAGATTGCACTGTTGCATTCCAGCCTGGGCAATAGAGCAAGACTCCATCTAAAAAAAAAAAATTCCAAAGCACTAGAAACCAAAGAAATGCAATGAAAACAATGAGATTTTCTCCTTAAATACCAGTAAAGTGGACAAATGGAAGGGGGACACTGGAGCTCTGCCACTTTGGGAGTATAAACTCTGAACCAATTTTTCTGCAGGATAATTTGAAAATTTCTATGAAAAATCTTAAAAGTGTTTTATGTTATTTTCCTCCAGAAATTCTACTTCTATGAATTCAGCCCAAAAATGCTTGCTTGCATCCATTAAAATATATATATAAGAAAATTTACTTCTGGGGTGACAATGATTAACTTAATATACATCAAGCTTTTAGAAAGGATGATGCCAAGGATATATTTACTGCCATAGAAATATGCCCAAAACATAGTGACAAAAGACTATATATTATGATTCTACTTTTTAAAATGTTCAAATGCATAAAGATGTAAAAAAACAACAAACCAGAATGTTTTGAGTGGCAACATTAAAGACTTTTCTTCATATTTTGTCTTCCAAATTATCACAAAAAGAACGTGATTTTCTTTATAATCAGGGAGAAGTATTATTTTCATTTATTTACATTTAAATTTCTTTCCTTATTTTTTCTCATGTATGTATCACATGTACTCTAGAGAGCTTGAATCCCTACCTCTTGAGGTAAATCAGACCATTTCGGTCTCCATCAACTTGCCTTTTCTGGACATTTCAAATCAATGGAATTACACAATATGTGTTCTCCTGTCTGGTTTTTTTTACTTAGCTAATGTTTTTGAGGTTGGTCCATGACATATGACAGGTTTTGGTAGTTTGTTCCTTTCATTACTGAGTAGAAGTCCACCAATGGATATAGCACATTTTGTCAGCAGAGAACCTTTTAAACTTCGATTTCAACTTCCTGTGGTCTAAATGAAACCCCCAGAACACAGGACTTCTAGGGAAAGCTGCTGTGCATGTCAAAATAACTACTTAGCAGAACCAGCTTTGTCCTCAGGAGCCTGAACTGCTGCAGACATTTTTATAATTTTGCAACTTCTTTTTTCACAAGCAAGTTTTGTTCTACTACTACACATCAGGACTTTTGAAGCATCTGATACATCCATCGAATAAGTATGAGCATGTGTCTGAGTGGACAAGTGAAACCATCTATGCTACACTGCATATTTTTTCCTCCCCTAGACTGGACCAGGGAATCTCTCAGCTTTCTAGAGTACCCTTTCCACACTGACAAAGCCGAACAGTATTAAAGACCCTGCTGCCTTCGTTAGGCACATTTGGAGGGGAGGCCCAGCAGCAAGCGTGGAGAGGAAAAAGAGAGGGGAGCTTGTGGAACAGGAAGCCCCCCGGGGTCCGTACATGGCTCCCTGCTGTTGAGGATGTTGTGGATGGGGAAGTGCTGATGGTGTCCTGAGGCAGCCTAGCACCTCCACTGGGCCCAGAAGGTCTTGACTTTGGAAGCTTACCCATGTTCCAGAAGTGTCCAAAAGCTGTTTTTGCTTTTGTTCTTTTCATAAGAAATCATTACTTGGTAGTTAGTTATTTGTCTTTCTTTGGGAGAGGGACGGAGCTTTAAAACTGAAGAACATAATTTTCATTAAAATATCAAAAATGGAAAAAAGTTACTTTGTAAACAATTTGCTCTACAAACCAAATGGTAGCTGTTGAGAATCTCAATAAAAGGTTAAATGCATTTGCTGCTGTTAGAAGAAATAAAGAAAAAAAATTAGAATAAAGAAAAAAATGCATTTGCTGGCAGTGGTACCATTAGCCTAAGTTTGGGTCACCGTGTCATCATACTGTGGTGGGGGGTATGTGTGGTGCATATGTGTGAAACTTTTCATCTCAGGGTGGATCATAATCTTAGCTGCAGTTTTTCTTTCAAATAGGGTTAAACAGTAGGAAAACATGGGCTTGGAAGTGACAGACCTGAGTGAACCAGCTCAGCTTAAAGAAAAATCCAATAAAACTAACTTTTAATAATCCTGAGGTTGGTTTTTGAAACAATAGATACAATGATTTACTTTAAGCATCTGGTTATGATTTTGAATTAGTAATACATACTGTCCAAACCCCCTTTTTTTTCTTATGGAAACAGAGGTTTCACCCAGAAAACCACAAAACACTGATTTTTTTTTAAAAGACAGGGTGTCACTCTGTCATACAAGCTGCAGTGGAGTGGTGGATCTCAGCTCACTGCAGCCTCCACCTCCCACCTTAGCCTCCCAAGTAGCTGGGACCACAGGTGCCACCGCGTCCGGCTAATTTATTTCATTTTGTGTACAGATGGGGTTTTGCCTTGTTGCCCAGGGTGGTCTCAAACTTCTAGGCTCAAGTGGTTCACCCACTTCAGCCTCCCAAAGTGTTCTGTCTACAGGCATCAGCCAGTGTCCAACCTGCAGTGACTTTTTAAAACATAAGTTCAAGCATCTGGTCTTAACTCCTTTAATTGGAGGTATCTCTTCTCTCATTTTTCTCATCTTTGGTGTTCCCCCAGAGTTCACTGCTGACTGGATGTACAACATATATTTCAAAGTAAAGGCTGGACTGGGTGCAGTGACTCATGCCTATAATTGCAGGACTTTGGGAGTCCAAGGCAGGCAGATTGCTTGGGTCCAGGAGTCCTAGACCAGCCTGACCAACAGGGAGAAACCCTGTCTCTACAAAAAATACAAAAATTAGCCAGGTGTGGTGGTGCATGCCTGTAATCTCAGCTACTCAGGAGGCTAAGGCAGGAGAATCACTTGAATCCAGAAGGTAGAGGTTGCGGTGAGTTGAGATCATGCCATCACACTCCAGCCTGGGCAACAAGAGTGAAACTCCATCTCAGAAACAAAACCACACACAAAAACTAGAACGACTTTCTTCTGGAGTAGTCTATGTGTGCCACCTACCTAACCTACTGAATGAAACCCAGATCCTTTCCTATTTCTCCCAGTTGCAAGGCACTGTTACAAGGTTCAGACTATCCAGAAATAAAAAGCCAGGAAATAGCAAACGCTATGCATTTGTGGAGTTTAAGTCTGAGGATTTTGCCAAGATAGTTGCTGAAACAATGAACAACTACCTGTTTGGTGAAAGACTCTTGGAGAGTCATTTTATGCCATCTGAAAAAGTACAGAAAGAACTCTTTCAAGACTGGAATATTCCATTTAAGCAGCCATCATATCCATCAGTGAAATGTATAATTAGAATCAGCACTTACAAAAAAGCTACAGAAGGAGGAGAAATTTAAAAACAAAGAAGGATTACTCAGGAAGAAACTAGCTTAAAAAGGAACTGATTATGATTTTCTTTCTTTGATTTTACAGAAAATGGAAAGTATTTCAAAAATGAATTGTCAGATGTCTATAAAAGCCCAGGTTTTATGTAAAAAGAAGAAAAAGGTTTTAGGCACTTCTGACACTCCTGAGAAGACAGTGGATATCTATAGCCCCACATTGGTTTCTACATCAACATTTTTAAAGAAATGAAAAATCTGAAGTGGCTGAAATGAATGATAATGATGAAGATAATGAAATAGTTTTCAAACTGCCCATATCCTGTGTCAAAGAAGAAATATAAGAGACTCAAACACCTACACATTCATAGAAGACGAAGAAAAAGCAGTCAGTGATATTCAATGTATATAGATTTCTTCTGAAAAATATTTTCATGAGAAAAATACAAAAAATTAACTGGGCAAGTTGGCTGACACCTGTAGTCCCAGCTACTCGGGAGGCAGAAGTGGATCACCTGAGCCCAGGAAGTTGAGGCTACAGTGAGCCGTGACCAAGCCACTGTTCTCCAGCCAAGTCAAGTCATTACATTTATCTTGACCTATTCTAGGCTGGCTTAAGTGGGATTTGTATTAAGAATACAACAGGCAACCTCACAGACATCTAAGTACAAAACTCAAAATAGGACCACACCATGGAAGGCCTGCATGGGCTGGGAGGTGATTTTCCTCTCCTGCATGCCTTCACTCTGGACTTCTGCTCCATGCTTGTGCTTTGCTCTGCAGATGAACATTCGGCATGTGCTCCAGGCTCCTCCAGCCTCTGAGGCTTTGGCTTGCCCTGGCAGTACCCCTGGTCCCAGTGTTACTGGACCTTTCCATACAGATGCTCCTCTGCAAAAAATCTATTGAAAACTCTCTGTGTCATTTCCAATGAGCAGGAGAGAGAATCTGATCTGCCTAGCAGTGAGGGTGGGAGTTCCCTAGTTGTCCCTGGATTTGTAGTGCTGCCCTTTCCAGAGACTTGAGGAGGGGCCACATATCCAAAAAGAGGGTGCGGGTGGGGCATCAGTAATACAGTCTACTTCTACTAGAAGGTATAAAGTAGAGGTGGTGGCTCACACCTATAATCCCAGCACTTTAGGAGGCTGAAGCAGGCAGATCACTTGAGCTCAGGAGTTTGAGACCAGACGGGGCAACAGGGCAAAACCCCATCTCTACTAATAATACAAAAAGTTAGCTGGGCATGGTGGCACATACCTGTAGTCCCAGGTACTTAGGAGGCCAGGGTGGAAGCATAGCTTGAGCCCAGGAAATAGAGGCCGCAGTGAGCTGAGATCATGATGCCACTGTACTCCAGCCTGGTCGACAGAGTGAGACCCTGTCTCAAAAGCAAACAGAGAAACAAACAAACAAAAAGGATAAAGTGGAATCATCTGTATGCAAGATTGAAGTCATGCTTTCCATCTATTTTTTTCACCTTTCCTTTTTTTCTAAAACACTGTATCTTAAGCTTGTCCCTATGTTATCAAGTACTCATGAGCATTATTTGAATGGTTGTATAGGAATCCATTATCTGGACTCATTGTCATTTATCCATCTGCAGTTGCTGGACATACTGCCCTTTCTGCCCCACTCAGTCACCCTTCTGACTTTACACTGTGTCCAGTTATCTACTAATACACATACTGGTCATTTAGGACTTAAAGTTAAGAATAGTTATTATGGTTCCTAACACTTCAAAAAGAATGTATCTTCCTAAAAATGTCTTGGTGGTTATACTTTTAAAGCAAAATAGACAAATTGATGTTGAAATTAATGTTTTGCTTTCTTCTTGTATCTATTTTCACTTCTCTGTAATTTTGATGGAGAAAGTTTCATGTGGAAGGATTTTTATTTCAAAACAGAAAGAGCATGTGACATGAGAATGGGAACACTGAAAGGTTCAACTTTCTAGTTTACTAAGTTTGTCAAAAAAGCTACTGACAGTTAATCATGATTGACCTGTATTGAAAGTGAATTAACATTATGTACAACTTAAGCACTATACTTTCTATTGGATATAGAAAAATAGGTGGCGTGTTTGTAAAAGTATTGGGCTAGGAGTCAGGAAGCTTGACTGTTGGTCCCAATTGTGCTTCTTCAACTGAGCACCCCTAGGCAATAATTTAGCAGCTATCTCTTAAAAATCTAATGAATTTCAGGCTTTGTAGTTGGGCTGGGAATATAGACATAGATACTGCATTCATGATTCTCCAAGGCTCCCTTTGTCACTTGGCTTACAGTGAGCTTTCTTATGCATTGTGTAAATCTGTCTCCTAACAGGCCCCTACTCTGTCTCCAACCTGCTTCCCAGGGCAGTTGTGAGGATCAAATGAGGGAGAATATGTGTGAAACAAAGTGTAAATGATTTTAAAATGTAATAAAAATATGATCCATGGAAAATTATTTAAAGATCCTTAGAATTTTAAATAAACAGTACATTAGGCCAGGCTCTGTGGCTCACAACTGTAATCCCAGCACTTTGGGAGGCTGAGGCGGGCAGATCACAAGGTCAGGAGATCAAGACCATCCTGGCAAGCACGGTGAAACCCCGTCTCTACTAAAAATACAAATTATTCGCTGGGGGTGGTGGCATGTGCCTGTAATTCCAGCTACTCAGGAAGCTGAAGCAGGAGAATCGCTTGAACCAAGGATTCAGAGGTTGCGGTGAGCTGAGATCAAGCCACTGCACTTCAGCCTGGTGACACAGCGAGACTCTGTCTCAAAAAACAACAACAACAACAACAACAACAAGTACATTAACCTGAATTCTCTCTGGTTTTGATTTTAAATAGATATGAAAATTTTTCAATGGACCACTGAGACAGTTGAAAATTTTGGCTTGATTATTCTCCAAGAGAATGATACAGTGGTTTGCATGATTAATTTTCTAAAATTGCTAGCAAAAGAAATCAAAACCTTTTTTGAGTTGCTGTATAATGGAGAAATGTTTTATGTGTTCACTAACAGCTTGCCTTTGTTTGATTCCAGCTGCAGCATATCGTTGAGTGATGAGATCTGTGTGCAGGTGACTGACCTTTACCTGGCACAAAATAATAATGGGGCCACGGGAGGCCAGCTGAACACACAGAACTCAAGGAGTCTCCTGGAATCAATGTGTCAGCGGAAAGCTGAGCAGCTAATGTCAGGTGAGAATTGATTTAAGGTGAGATTTGCTCAGGTAGTCAAAGAACTTGCTGGTGACAATGTAAGTTGTTAGGATTCTCTGAACCAGAAGTTAAAGCCGGGATACTCTGACCCCGTGATTCTACTCCTGGAACTTTTTAGAGTTCCTAATGAGTTCACCAGAGAAATACAAAGTGGAAGTAACTATCTTCCTGGACAATCTACTTTGTTTCTTCCTTCCTTTAAAAAAAAAAAAAAAACCAAACTAGTTATATATGATTTTTACAATTTTGTATTCTTCTTTTTCTCTGAATATTTTCATAGTATGCTTTGTAAATATTATAGTTAGAAAAATATTGGCACATGAAATCCATGGTCATGGTCATTATAGAAAATAGGCCTGGCACACACGGTTCACACTTGTAATCCCAGCACTCTGGGAGGCCGACGTGGGTGAATCACTTAAGACCAGCTTGAGCAACATGGCAAAACCCCATCTCTGCAAAAAATACAAGAATCCAAAAATTAGCCAGGTGTGGTGGCATGTGCCTGTAATCCCAGCTACTCAGGAGACTGAGGTGGGAGGATGGCTTAAGCCTGTGAGGTCAAGGCTGCAGTGATCCCTGATCAGGTCACTGCACTCCAGCCTGGGTGACAGAGCAAGACCCTATGTCCAAAAAATAAAAGAAAAAAAAAATGCAGATAACCAAAACAAGTCACCTTAGAATTCTTTCCTGAAATTACCATTGGTGACATTTCTAGACTTTTCTATGTTTGAGTATATATTTTGAAAAAGTTTATACTGGACAAATGGGTTTTAACTTTTTTTTTGAGACAGGGTCATGCTCTGTTGCACAGGCTGGAGTGCAGTGGTGAGATCATGGCTCATGCAAACTCTGCCTCCTGGGTTCAAGTAATTACTGTGCCTCAGCCCCCCTAGTAGCTGGAATTACAGGCCTGTGCCACTATACCAGCTAATTTCTGTGTTTTTAGTAGGGCTGTGATCCCTGTGTGTCTCTGGGCCATCAGGCTCTTCCCCTCTCTAAACCTCGGTGTTCCCCTTCTAGAGAATGGGCAGAATTTTCTTCAGACAATACTCGCTCATGTGTTGGGGCCACAGAGAGGAATGGGGCATAGAGTTTCAGCAAGGAGCTGGACATAGGCGAGAAGCAGTCAAGATCAGAGGGATGAGAGGGTCCCGTCACCTCCCTGATTGCCCAGGACCTCACTGAGTCCTCACATGCATGACAAGATCTGTCCCACGAAGTCAGAGGCAAAACCCCTCAGCTCTGCCCCAGTGCAGGGGCTGCAAGAAACACATATCTCCTCTTGAGGCCTCCTGATAGGATGACTTCTGCAAGCTCATGCCATCCTAACCGGGAGAGCTGTTCCACACCCAGGTTGGGAGAGCGCTGGGTGAAATCAGTCCCCTCCAGGTATGCACAGCCCAGAGCTGCTCTCCAAGGACCCCTCAGTCACAGAAGGTGCTGGTCCTCCTACAGTGCTGCCCCACCCCCACCACCGCAGCCTCCTGGGAGTGTGGTCAGGGTGCCCTCCTTCGGGCTCTGCCCTCGCACCCACTCCTACACAGCTACTCTCCCTGCTGGCCGCCCCAGAGACCAGATTGGTTTGGGCCTCTGCCTCCACAGGCCCAAACTACCATCTCTTCTGCTCCCCAGAAAGCCAGTTCCCAGCAGACAGACCATGTTCCCTCTTCATTCCTCAACACAGAGGGCCCATCACAACCCCCTTAGCAGAGAGTAGAGCTCCCCACGCATCCTCTTAAAGAGGCTTCACCATTGATGGCCACAAGCCCCACCATGACCTCCTCCCAGGGGGTGAATTTTCTTACATGTCTCCCACCAGAGCAGCGACAAAATAAAACATAAAAGCAGCATCTGTTAAATTGTCAGCAACATTTCCTACTAGGATCAACTCTCGGAGTGAGCAGCGTATTCCATTAGATGGATCAGTGCAGGGGTAGCAAGCGTTTTCTGTAAAGGGCCAGATGGAAACTCTTTAAGGCTCCGCAGGCCACTGTGTCTCCATCACCACATACTCAAACCCTCCCCTGCAGCAAGAAAGCAGCCCTAGACAACATGTCAACAAATGAGCATGGCCATGTTCCCCGAAACCTTTCTTTATGGACGTGGAAGTTTGCATGTCATGTACTTCTCATGTGTCACAAGATAAGATTCTACTTTCCATGTTTTCAACCATTTAAACATGTAAAAGTCATTCTTAGCTCATGGGTCACACAAAAACAGGTAGCAAGAAATCTCGTTTTTAGACCAGCAGCAGCTGACCCCTGGATGGAGCATTAGAGCTTGGGTGCGTGTCCCACCCCAGGGCTTCCAGGAGAGGGAGAGCAGGCTGATGCCACATCCACCCCCATCTCTCTAGGGGAGAAGGCGGAGCTGGTGCTGTATGAAGTTTGGCTGCAGATCCTGGGCCAGCACTACACCAAGGCCTTGGAGGTCAAAACCAGCCCTGACCTCTGGGCACTTCAGGGGCAGCTGACGAGATGGGTGAAGTGGCGGAATGAAGTAGGGGGGTCGGGGAAGAGGCCTCGGGAAGATGAGGGATGACTGGACAAGACTTTGTTAGTGCTGTGACCCTCTTCATCCTCTCCTGATCCCCCAGCTGACCCTTGTCCTCAGACCTCTACAAAACTTTGACCAAGAGGTGGTGGAGGAATTCTGGTGGGTCCAGGGTGGCCTGGGTGGCCCAGGGCTCCGACCTGCGTTCTGGGGTTGAGGGCAGGAGGCTGGAAGAGGTGACCTCCCTTAGGCCCCTCAGGCTGCCCGGCCCCCTGAAGTGGGATGATCCTCCCACCAGGCTGGATCCACTGACCACAAGAGTGGGTGCCACCTTCTTCAGGGCGGTGCCAGCCCAGGCTCTCATGTGGGACTGTGTGCGCCAGGGTCTGCACATCCTGGAAGAGGCAGAGGGCCTCTTGGTAGAGATGGTCATCCCAGACCTCAGTCAGTACCTCCTTCCCTCTGCAGGCCCCCTCCATCTGTCCACCTGCCTCCTCCCTTGGGCTCACTGCCTCTGCATGCCCTGATCTGAAACCTGCCTCCCCTCCTCACGGAGCCCACCCAGATGCTTCTAGCCCCAGCTCTCTGGTCCCACAGCAACTTCTGGGCCCAGATTCAGCCTTCTCAGAAGTCTGGGAGGCAGAGCCCTGCCTGGCCATAGCCTTCTTGGTCTGCTCTAGGCACTCCTAGCCCCGAACCTGGTATTGTAAAAAGTGATTTCTGGATATTTAGAAAGTCATCCGGTGTGAGGAGCTGGGAGGGTCCAAGGATAGAGCCCACAAGAGGAGGAAGATTGAAAAGGGGTCAGAGTGGGAATGGGGGCTGCTGAAGGCAAGGCCCACCCCCAACCCTGATCCCCAAACCCAGCCACAATGCCAGTCAGCCTCAGGCCAGAGGGTGTGAGCAACGGGGGCCCTGGCTGCTCTACAGTGGATCAGAGCCACTGGGTGTGGGGGGGAGGTCTTCCAGGGGAGGTTTGGGGATGCCCGGGCAAGGTAAGGCAGGCTCCCAGGGCAGAGACTGAGGCTGACCCCTCTAGCCCCCATACTGCACGGGGGTAACACCGGGATAGGCAAGAGTCTTAACCTAGAAAGCCCCAGCAGCTCCTGTGCCCATCAGGACACCGTTGAGGCTTGGTGGTGGTGGAACCCAGGAATGGTCTTTGAACCCACGGTCTGGAAGGGGAAGCCAAGGACAGTCCTGCCCCGTAGGCTCCCCTGCCTGTAGGCAGTGGGCAGGCCCAGTGAGGGGACCCCAGAAGCCCAGACCATGAACTTACCTGGCCAAAGACAGCAGCCAGCACCAAGACATCAAAGAGGGCGGGTAGAAAGGTCATCACATCGGGGTTGACTGCAGCCAGCACCAGGTTCCTCTGTACTTCTGGAACACACAGGCCTCTCCTTCCTATCCCTGAAGTGCCTCTGCCCCCACCCCAGCACCCCGAAGACCAGCCTAATAGATGCACTTGTCCTGGGTCAGCCCCGCTGTCCAAGCAACTGCAATTTCTGACTAGAGAGCCAGGGCGGGGCAGGGTGTAGGAGGGGTCCCTGGAAGATGCTCCCCGGGATGCCCTGATGCCTAAAACGTTCCCCATTGGGCCTTCTCAGGGAGGGAGGGTTATGGCAGCCTGTTCTCTCCAGCCACCTCCATCACCACAGGAGCTCTTACAGACGTCACAGGAGAGAACTGGATCACTGGAGCCAGGACCAGCACGGACGCAGCTCTGGGGCTGAGGCTAAGTGGACTCTGGGAGACCATCACTCTGTCTTCAAGCTTTGGTCTCCTGGTCCTCTACAAGCCAGGCTGTTTCAGGCTTTGCATGAGGCCTTGCACAGAGACAGAGTTCAAACACAGCTGGTGAACAGAGCGGGCTTTAGGGAGGGGGCACATACCTAGTGGTGGGGGCTGGGTACCAGTTAAGGGAGGCCCTGGGGCTAGCGTGGTCTGTCTGGAGGTGGCACAATGGGACATGCACCATGTGAGGAGAGAGGGTCCACCTGGAAGTGTGGACCAGCCAGATGGCCACCAAGCTGGATGGCCACCACCAGAGCCTGCATGACACTAGAGGGGGCTGGGAAGGGATAGAGGACAACTCAAGGGCAGGGAACCTGGTTTCCTTCATACAGACACATGAGTCTTCCCGAAGTGGGTCTTCCTCAAGTGGGTGAGGGAGTATTCAAGACACACCTCCAGTCCACCTCAAACCATCTCAGGAGGCCACCACCTACTCACACAGGCCAGCTGCATTGTCACAGTGACCCCAGAAGAGCACAGCCCTGTCCTTCAGATGAATAAACAGAGGGAGAGACACATCTCACAGCCAGGAGCTGGGACTCAGACCAGGTCCAGCTGCAGTGCTGCCTCGATGGCTCCCCCTGCACCTCCTCCGGGACTCAGTTCCTGCTAACAAGTGAGCACCTGAGTATGGGTGAAATAGGTGCTATTATCCCTGTCCAGCTGCTGGGGAAAGGGAAGCAAGGCGCAGGTGACTTGCCCAAGGCCAACGTGACAGGGCTGATTCAACCCCATCTGTCTCAGCGAGCACATCCCCATGGCAGAGGCTTTACTGTGATCCAAACCTGGAAGGTGGAACTCCTTCCAATGTCCCACCCAGGGCACACAGCATGCAGCCCCATGTTTGGGGAGGTGAAAGTGTGGGGAGGTGATAGTGTGGGAAACAATCTGGCTAGGCCATGGACTTATGGAGCCCAGGGTTTCCTAGGGCCAGGACAGCTCTGGAGCCCACCCCAACACCTACTGTAAACCTGGAATCTGCACCTGCAGGAGATCAGGAGAGGGGATTCATCCTCCAATGCACCTGCAGCAAGGTGAGACAGGCACAGGTGGGCGCCTGCTTCCAACCAGCCTCAGGTGGGCAGGACGCAGATCTCCTGCCTGACCTTCCTCTCCTGCCTCCCCAAGCAGAGAAGGGGCAGCCGCCCATCAGGCCATTGCCCAGATTGAAGCCGCTGAAGCTAGGTCCCAACAGGCGAGTGTGACCCCTGACTATCCCAGGCCTGGGCCAAGGCAGTCCTCTGTCTGGTGAGGGCCTGGTAGACAGGAGATGTGATGTCCCCACATGGCTCTATAAACCTCTGATTGAGGATAATCAAGGAAATGGACAAGAACATCATGCCTAGTCAAGACCCTGGCAGGCACAAGGGGGACCAGGGCAGGCAAAAGTCAGTTTGGGCCCAGGCCTAGCCCCTGGAAGGACGGTGGATGAGGGACCAGCCACGGTGAAGGGGAATGGATGGCCATGGGCTGGGTGGCCAGGGCTGTCAGCTCCTGCAGCCCCTGCAGAATGTCCACCCAAGCCTGGCTCTGCACTCTGCACCTGGAGCCACAGGTGCCTGGACACTGGCCTGCAGTAGGGATGGTGGTAGGAAAGGCACTTGTGGCCACATGTGGGTGCCTAAGCATGGGACAGAGGAGTATCTTGCCCCCAAAGAAACCATAGAGGCCAAGAGCTTAAGCAGATGTGACACCATCAATAAACCCCCTTGTCCTGGGTCACGTCAATTAAGTCAGCACCTACCCTGACCCTGAAGCTGCGGCTCAGTCTGGTTGAGACTCACAGAGAGATGTTAGTGCTGGGCAGGGGGCCTGGCCCAGCCTGCGATGTCCAGCAAAGCTGTGGGCTGGACAAGAATCTCTGAAGATTAGCCCAGGAAAAGGACAGCTGTGTCTGGGCAGGGAGTGGGGGCAATGCCCAAGGTGCAGGAGGCCTGAGGACATTTAACTAAGTAGGGTGCCAGGTCAGGATGTGCAGAAGAGAAGGTGGCATGGCAGCATCCTGCCCAAGGCCAGACAATAAACCTAGGGGCCACCTTGTCGAGCCTAAACCATGCTGCCACCCAGATGCCATCCTTCAAATGTGAGGCGGGCTGGGAGAGCCCCCAGAACCCTCATCCCTCCCACCCCAAGCTGGTTTCCATCCCTCACCAGAAGGAAAGGGGACTCTTCTATGGGGCACAGCATGCCAGGTTCTCTATCACCTGGGGGAAGGGGCCAGGTGGAGGGGGAGCTGCGGCTGGGTGAGAAAGAACCCAGATCCCTCTCTGTCCCTACCTGACAGGTGACCTCCAGCAAGCTGCTTTCATTGCCTGGGGCCAAGGAGAGTCAAGGGGAGGGACCAGGTTAAAAGAGCTCCACCCTGGAGCCCAGAGCTACCTACAGAGAAAACCCCCCATCCTCCTGATTCTGCTCCCAGCTCTCACTGCTGGGATAACATACTCACCATCAGAGAGGCCGTGGGAGGCAGAGGCTGACCCTGCTCCTTCAGGCACCCCAGCGGGTTTGGGTCCGCCTTCATCATGATCAGGGAGGGGGTCCCTGGGATCACAAAGGTGAGGGGCAGCTTCTTGGGCTCCAGGTGCTCCAAAGTAGACCCTGCAGGGCACCAGAGCTACAAGGGTGTTAGGGAGGCTGGGCGCAGTGGCTCAGGCCTGTAATCTCTCCACTTTGAAAGGCTGAGGTGGGCAGATCACGAGGTCAGGAGATCAAGACCATCCTGGGTAACATGGTGAAACCCCATCTCTACTAAAACTACAAAAAATTAGCTGGGCATGGTGGCATGCACCTGTACTCCCAGCTACTCGGAAGGCTGAGACAAGAGAATCACTTGAACCCAGCAGGCAGAGGTTGAACAGGACCAGGACCTGAGCTCTGCCTGGCCATGGTGACTCTGAGCCAGGTAAGCAATCTGTCACTGTGTCTCATGGGGGATGTCAGCATTACCTCTGGAGTCAAAGTAGATAAGCCAGGGTAACCAGAGTTCCCAGTAGGGACCAAGACCAAAGGACGCAGTGGTCAGTCCTGTCCTGGAAGGTCAGGCTGGATGAGGGGCTCTGTGAAGCTGGGGCAACTGAGGGCCAGCCCTTCAGGTTACAGGCATCTAGATCCTGGTCTAGACCCTCATATGCCATCCAGAGACCCAACCCTAGGGACAATTCCTCCCAGGCTGGTAGCAGAGAGTCGATCCTTGTACTCACCCCACCAAAAGCTCTGAAATGAGGGGGCCTGCTGCAGGGGGAAGATTCTTCAGGAAAATGTTCTCAGGGGCAGGTATGGTTTTAGCTGGGCCTTAGGGCAGCCAGAGAGGTAGGTGACAGGCCTGCTCACAAAGCCTGCCAGAGCATGCAGGAGGGACACAGGTGTAGTGGTGAGAATGTTCTGGAAGACAGCAGGCAGCCTCTTACTCACCAATGGGGCCAAGTACGGTCAGGTCCACACACCAGGAGAAGCTGGTATCCACACGCTGGTGCACTTTGTTTCTTGTTTTAGAGACAGGGTCTTGCTATGTTGCCCAGGTTGGAGTGTGGTGGTGCAATCATAGCTCACTGCAGCTTTGACCTCCTGGGTTCATGTGATCTTCCCACCTCAGCCTCCTGAGTAGCTGGGACCACAGGCGCATGCCACCATGCCTAGTTTTATTTTCTGTAGAGACAGGGCCTCGCTATGTTGCCCAGGCTGGTCTCAAGAGCTTTCCACCTCAGCCTCCCAAAACACTGTGATTACAGGGACAAGCCAGCACTCCTGGCCATGCTGGTGCATTTTGGCTGCCGTGGTGCACAGGAGGTATGAGCTCCGGGGGTGCAGAGTCTGCTTCTGGACCTCTACCCAGGCCTGCACCCAGACTGACCCCTGGGCTGCAGGGAACAGGTGTGGAGAGAACGCAGCAAGCAGAGTGGGCTAGCCAGTGATGGAGATACAGGCTGGGACTAGGAGAGGTAGGGCTCCAGCCCTCAGCCTAGTGGCCCTTCCCAACCCCTTGGGGCCAAGATGATTTCCTAGGAAGCCAGGCATGAAGGCCAGCATGCACCTGAACTGAGGACAGAAGACTCTGATGAGAGGGAGGGGGAGGCCTCTGACATAGTTTGGATACTTGTCCCATCCACATCTCGTGTTGAAATGTGATCCCCAATGCTGGAGGTGGGGCCTATAGTGTGAGGTGTTTGGGTCATGGTGGGGGACCCCTCTTGAATGGCTTAGTGCCCTCCCCATGGTAATGAGTGAGTTTTCTTCTTTTGTTTTTTCTTTTTCTTTTTTTTTTTCTTTTTTTTTTTTTTTTTTTTTTTGAGACAGAGTTCACTCACAGCCCAGGCTGGAGTGCAGTGGTGCGATCTCAGCTCACTGCACCCTCCATCTCCCAGGTTCAAGTGATTCAATGAGTGAGTTTTTTATCAGTTCACAGGAGAGCTGGTTGTTTAAAAGAGCCTGATGCCTCCTCTCTCTTTCTTCCTCTCTCACCATGCGACAGGCCTGCTCCCTCTCCGCCTCCCCCCAGGAGTAAAAGCTTCCTGGGACTGTTTGCACCAGGGTCTGCACACCCGTCATCCCAGACCTCAGTCAGTACCTCCTTCCCTCTGCAGGCCCTCTCCCTCTGTCCATCTGCCTACTCCACATGCCCTGATCTGAAGCCTGCCTCCCCACCTCATGGAGCCCTCCAAGATGCTCCTAGCCCCAGATCTCTGGTCCCACAACACCTTCTGGGCCCAGATTCTGCCTTCTCAGAAGTCTGGGAGACAGGGCCCCACCTGGTCATAGCCTTCTAGCTCTGCTCTAGGCACTCCTGGCCCCAAAGCCTCCAGCCCGCTGGACGTCTTCATCTCCAGCTATGCCGTGGCTCTCCTCATCCTGAGCCTCCTGCTCGTCAGAGTTTCCCTTGTCCTGGTGAGTGTCTGGCTGGGCCAGGGCTGCTTCCTGAGGGGCAGGCTTAACCTTTGACACTTTGAGCCTTTGAGCCAAGCTGAGGGGCGAGCAGGTCCCTTTACCCCCCTGATTCCCCCATCCAAGCCCAGCATCTCCTCATCCTCCAGCTGGGGCCACAGGGTTTGGGGCCAGAGGGTTAGGCCTGATCCCAGTGTCCCCACCCTTCTTGTCAAGGTGTTAAACTTGAGGGCATGCCTTGGGTGCTGACGTTCCCAGGAACTCAGAGCCAGAGAGAGCCAGGCACCAGCCCAAGGTCACACAGCCAGGGGCTTCTTCCCTCTTGGACCCCGAAGGACTGGACTTTGGGGCTGGAAAAGAGGTGGAGTGGGGGAAAGTAATGCCTTATCAACCCACGCAGGGAGCCCCACTCCCATTCCCAAGGTGCATAAAGTCAAGGAACACCCATTTCCACATCCATGTTCACACAGGGCACTGCTCCCACTGTTTGGCACTCACACCGGCCTCCCGCCCTCCATGCCACAGGTATCGGTCTCATTTACAGAGGGGGAAATGGTGGCCAAAAGCCTCCCCCAGCACACATAGCTAGACCACACAGAGGTCTTAGGTGCAGCTGAGGGGTCCACAGTCTCTGCTGCCCCTTCTGCCACTCATGCTCCCAGGGACCACGCTTCGGAGAGGGAGGAATAAGAGAAAGCTGGGTGCTCACACATGGGGCACAGGGGACTAGGGAAGGGTCAGCCAGGAGGAAAGGGCAAGGTGTGATCCTGTAGGTACACATCACACAGCCCGCAGAGTCAGGAGAGCCAGGGCCAGGTCCCAGCTCGGCAGCTGCTTGGTATGTGACCATGGTTAGTCATCTCCCTGGACACTCATGCACTTTGTGTGCTGTGTGTGCCTTCTAGAAGGAGCCTGGACCCTGGCTGGCCTCATACTTGCTGCGTAGGCTGTAGATCCACAAGTGCTTCTGCAAGGGGCTTTGCTTCTCCTCATAACAGTGGCACAGGCTGGCCGCGTGCTCTGGGGATAGAATGGAGTAGCTCTGGAGGTAGCAGGTGGGGGCTGGGCTTGGGTTCCTGGCCCAGACAAGGCAGAGTACACCTCAGGGTCACAGGACCTTGGCAGCAGCCCTTGGCCCCCAGGCTGCCCAGCTGCCCACCCACAGCCCATACCTTTGGGCAGCCCCAGCTGCTGCAGTTCACTGGCCAAGGATTCGCCATCGACACTGTGCTTGGCCGCACTGGAGAGGATGAAACTCAGCACTGCTACTGTGGCCTTCATATCGCCTGACTCTGATGGACCTGTGAGTGGGACAGGGGTTGTCACTGTGGCCCCAGCCACCTCCCAGTTGCCCTATTAACTTCAGCACAAAGCTCCCAGGCCTCCTGAAGCCACAGGCACTGCTCCTGCTCCACCAGGAGCTGGCAGAGGACAGGAAGGTGGGACTGTCAATGTCTTTCTTTCCCTCATGCTCCTCCACTAGGGACGGTAAGTTAAGGATGCTGCAGGGAGGGGTGGGTACAGAGGGCCCCTCTGTGCCAGGCACCAGGCTGAAGTCCCAGGGTAGCTTGGGGCCTATGGACTCAGCAGGGTACTCACCAAACTTGACATCAGCTGTGAGCTTCAGGATCTTCTCATACTATGGGGAAAGGAGACCTTCAGAGGGCGCCAGTACCCTATTCACCAGCCCCTCACCCTCAGCCTGGATCCTGCAATAAGAACAGACAGGCTGGAAAAAAGTATGGGAGGTGCCCAGAGAGGTTGACAGGCTGGGTCACCCATCTCCCCGGGCCTAGTGCAGAGCTTCAGGGCACGGGGGGTCATAAGGTCATGGGACAATGGGGTGCTGGGTCTTGTACTCACATCATTCCCCTGTCCCAGCAGCTCTTTAGTACCTGGCTGCAGAGCAGCTGCAACTTCACAGAGGACTGGAAGGGAAGTCCTTACATCAGCCAGGCTGGCGAACCTCACCCCTCCTTCCTGGGGACTGGCTCAGAGCAGGCCAGCCGCTGATCAAGGTCACAAAGCATGGTAGCACAGGCTGAGAGCACTGAGGCCCTAACCTTAGAGAAACCTCATCATCATCTACACCCACAATCCCCAGCCCAGCGCCCCTCCTCCACCAGAGCAGACCCTGTGCACTCAACCATCTTGGCCAGCGTGCCAATCTCTGCCAGGACCCACTTGGGACAGTCCAGATCACCACAGAACCGGAACCTCTGCAAGGGAGGGAGGCAGGTAATCAGGCTGGAGGGAAGGCTGAGGTGTGGCCAGGATCCGTGTCTCCCACACTACTGCCCAGCAGGGAACCCTGGTCCCCATCATAGATGGATACCCTCTGGCCTCTTGTTCTCCCCTATCACCAGGCTGTTGAGTGAACTCTCTCCCTGACCCACCCTGCCACCAAACCCTGCTCTGAGGTCTACTCCAGGCATTCGTCTGCTCAGCAAACATCAATCAAGCGCCTTCTCTGTGCTAGCTCCCACTCTAAGCGCTGGGGGTACAGCAGGGGATAAAACAAAGTCCTGGGCCTCACACAGATGGGTGATCTCTCTCCCCTCTTCCCCATACCCACACAACTCCAGCCACTCCGGCTTCCCTGCAGCAAGGGGACACCAGCCTTGCTCCCGCCGCCATGCCTGCTGCATTCTCTGTGTGGCTTGCTATCCTTTATTTCATTCCACTCTCGGCTCAAGTGACCCCTCATCAGACCAGCCCCCCTCTTTTTTTTTTTTTTTTTTTTTTAAAGACGGAGTCTCGCTCTGTTTCCCAGGCTGGAGTGCAATGGTACAATCTTGACTCACTGTAACATCCGTCTCCCGGGTTCAAGCAATTCTGCCTCAGCCTCCCGAGTAGCTGGGACTACAGGCATGCACCATCTCACCCGGCTTTTTTGTATTTTTAGTACAGACAGGGTTTCACCACATTGGCCATGCTGATTTTGAACTCCTGACCTCAGGTCATCCACACACCTCAGCCTCCCAAAGTGCTGGGATTACAGGCTTGAGCCACTGCACCCTGCCAGGCTGGCCCTTCTTGATCATACTTCCTAAAGTAGCCCCTCACACAAGGAAATTGTTGGGGCGGGTGGATATGTTCATTATCTTGATTGTGGAGATCCAAGAGCCAGGAAGATTTGATCTTTACTTATGCAACCTCATCTTTCCCTAACCTCCAGATGATACTCTCCCAGCTATGGGAAATGTATTCATTCCTGGGAAGCCATGCTCTCTCTAACCTGGTCTCTGCACATGCTGTTCCCTGTCTGAAGACACATGCCTCCCACCCTTGCCTCCCAACCCCTGGTACACAAACTCTACTTCAGCCAGCCAGCTCCTGCCATCGGCCTTTAAGGTTGATGGCATCCTCAGGGAGCCCCCTTAGCACTACACACACCGCGCGGTTAGGTCTCCGCCCCTGGAGCCTTAACTATGACTGCCAATTCAAGCCTCCGATTTCTCCTTCCCTTGGCAGCTCAAGTCCTCCCAGTGCCTAGCACACTTCATGGTATGGACTAGTGCTTAGAATGCACGGATGGATGGATTGGATGGATGGATGGATGGATGGATGGATGGATGGATTGATTGGATGGATGGATGGATTAGATTGATGGACAGGTAAGTCTCAACCCCAAACTACTACTTTCGGGATCTGGAGAGAGTGGAGGGGCTTCCTAACACTGTGGAAGAGTGAGGCTG